TCTTCGAACTCGACCGAGACATTGTTAAGACTGAACTGTGTAGAAAATTTCATCACGATCCGACTCTCCTTTCGAAAGTTATCGGATAAACGGACGGACGGCCGGACGGACACACTGACCGATTTTAGTAGTGTACTCACTTTTTGAGTACACAAAAACAATTCAGAAGAAATCCAGAGATTATAAGCCCTTTTAGTCTTTGATCACTTGAAAATAATGAAGTATACCATATTAAAAGGATATGGATGTCAGTGTGATATATGGATGTGACTGTTAGGATCTGGATTTTGATGAAGATGAAAAGAGGAATAACATTCACAGCCATTTATGTATTATCAAATGTCGTAAAAACCATGGCTGATGATCTCACTCTTCATATTGCGTTGTTTTTTTGGATGCGACATGAACTACAATATTTTGATCTATAAAGTACGAGGACAATATTGTTCATATTGATGAAGATTTCGATAGCTTCAAAATCATTGCTTTTCGAAACGGCGCAAGTATAAAATGTATTCGAATTTTATAATACATACAACAAGAATTTCAACTGACGGAATCATTCTTCTATTGCATTAATTCCAAGCATTTCTGTCTATCTGAGAATTAAAATCAGCTTTGTTTTATCAACAGAATGTTACACTTGGTACGATTTATGGACGTATAGCTGGCTAAAATCAATATTGAACAGCATAAATTTTGATTGAATATTATGAGAAAAGTGACCATTATGATAAATTCTATGGATCGACTAAATAAAATTTCGTATATTCCTGAGTCTGTTCGACTAGTATATCTTTTGTTTGAGTTGCTCGCTTGACATCTCTTCCAGTCAATAATTAAATCAAAAATGACTAAATTTATAAATGAAATATTATCATTGTTCTTGAAAATACGCAATTAAGTTAACCACGATAAAAGACAAAAATGATGAGTAATGGAGATTTTCAACAGAATTTCAATTATTTATCTGAGATGAACGAGATAAGCAGTATAATGGATCAATGACAACAATCAGTCATGTATGGACATTACTCATAGTTTATTCTGCTTTTAACGTTAAATGCATCGGAAAATTGATGCATTAAAGTAAGAGATTACTCGGTGAGTCGATGGTAACTTTATACACAAATTTAGAAGTGCAAGAAGAAACACACAGCATCTTTATAAAAAAAAAACTGCGTTGACGATAAACTTTTTTTTATCAGGGAATAAGTGTGAATGTGTTAGTGTTAGTGATTCTACCTTCTTAATTTACATCTTTAGCCATCTACATCTATATCATCCAATTGACGAGACTTACTATAAGTGCATAAAAAACATCACTTTGAAGACAAATAGTACCAACATGATAAACGAACATATTGAACTAAAACGTGACCTTTTTGTTTTTGTTCTTTGCAGTTTACTCAATATTTGCAGATGACTCTATCCTTCCAAGTTCAGTACCAACCAAAAGGTACTAATAGAAATATTCTATAACTTAATTCGTATTATTATACGTTTTTCGTAGTTATTAAAAATATACTCAATGATTTTATTGATTCCTAATATTTAATAACGCTTATCATGACAAAGGCTTATGAAAGGCATACACCAACTAGTAAACGACAGGAATAGTTGATAGAATATAAGCCATATTAATGTCTCGTAATTATTTTTTGTTCGTAGTGATCAAGAAACTTTTTTACGCTAGCTTAGGAAAAAAACGAATAATAAATGTGTCTTTCTTTCATCCATGAACGAGAGTGACAAACAATCAACTCATGTTCTTGTTGTCAAAGTTGATTGGCATGACTATCGTTGATTATATAAATGTGATTCTTTCGTTTCTTATTCTTCGACTACGTCTCTTCATTAACTCAATTCCTTATCATCATGATCAATCAACAAAGAACGAAAGTCAATCGAATATATCAGGTCTAATATGATTCAAGCAACGAATAGTACTGAGAAACCTATTAATGTTCAGAAAATTCTAAACTCAGTACAATTTTTCAATATGTTTGAATCTTAATAATACCTTCAAGGTGAATGTACTAAATCATTCATTTCACGAACAACAATTATAAAAGATTCAACATTTGTTATATTAATTTTTCATGTCAAAGATATACTGAAATAGAAATTTAAAACATTATGAAGACGAAAGAATCAAAAAATAATAATTAGACTAACATGCTATATCTTGAATAGAAATGTTTGATCTTGGTAGTAATTAGCTTCTAAAAAATAGACAGAAGAGTAGTGAATATGCTTTGAAAACAGATTTCATGAAAAAGAACGATGTATATTCATATTTGTAGTTACAAGCCTTGGTTTTTTACTATAGCTATGGCTGTTACTCTTGAAATTATATTAATTAGACGCGAAAGTCAATATAGGTAAGCAAATAGAAAAAAATTCTCTTAATCATCGTTAATTTTATAAACATGATATCACGGGTCAACAAGGAAATGCTTTAAATCTACTTGATGCATCTTTTTTGTTTGGCATTAGATCTCTCTAGTATAATCTATATAAAATGAGTTTCGAATTCAACATCTACTTGTTTATATTTTTATATTGATGTTACTATGAATTGACATTTTAATCGCTATATTACAGATATGTTCAATCATCGTCTTCAATTATTGATTAATAGATCAGCTTCAGGATAACAGTTGTTGGAACTGATAAGTAGATCAATTCTGATAATTGAATAATAGATCTGCTTACTGTGACGATCTCAAGTGTAATAGACACAGCCCAAGAGCTATAAACCTAATATTGTATTAACACTGTGTATGAGAGAAGAATAAATCGAGAGTACAGTTCCATGTAAGGAAAGAGAGAGATGGAAGAACATTACAGTTATTTCTTTTATGGATAACAGTATGTACGAGGCAAGTATAAAATACTAAATAGTGTCATTCTTAATTATATACGGAAGAAGAGCGAACGGAGAAGGATATTGCGATTATTTCTATTGAGGAAGAGTAATAACTTACACCTTATGTTCGATCGTTACACTTACTTGATAGACATTGCTAGAAGTACCAATGATGATATTTGGACATAGTATATAGAGTAGCATATAATTCGAATTCATTCACACTTCATACATCAGATACGGTAGATCATCATGCGATGCGTTATGGTTCATGTACATCATCATGAAACTAGTTTAAGTCTTGCACAATTGTCAAATCCAATAGATTTATGCTTTGATTCATCGATAAAAAGTCTTTTAATTGATATTATATTAGATCCAGTGGAATAGCAACTAATTGTATCTCTCAGATATTGCAGATTTCAAGAAATTCAGTTTAAAAATATGATCATGATGAAAACAATATTTCTTTTGTTTTTAATAATAAGATTTTTTCTTGATGAAATTAGTTCAACCAAGAAAATTTCAGAACGTCAAATACATGTATTAATAAAAAAGTGGCTAAATTTTTATAAACTATATAGTTGTGTAATTTAATAATCTTATAAAATAGGTTATCATTGGGTTAATAAATCTTTAAAAGAACAGCTTAACATTGTCCTTTGCACGTTTCATTGGAAAATATATTATTTCAGTCGATTATTTCTTATAATCGAAAATTTAAACAGCTGTTAATACAGCGCAAAACTTGAATAGGTAAATATCTACAAATAAATGCACGTTGATAAAATCAAAGATAATAATTTACTAAAACCATTGATTTATAATAACGATAGTTATAGAAAAGTGATTCTTTTTATTTTCACATATTAAAATATTTATTCTTTCAACTTTTGGCGACATTGACTTTTTTCTGTTCCTGCATCCCAATTTTTTTCTTTTGAATAGAAAACAAAAATCAAGCCTTTTTGCACATGAAGGCGACATACTCGTGTATTTTTTTTTCTGTCATGTAGTAATTATAAGCAGAGCGATGAAAAACAGAAGCCGCATGGGGAGAAAACATAGGTTTATTTTTGGCGAATAAGCTGAATAGTATTGTCAACATCGGCGTTCGAATAAGACAAAAAACTGTTTTGAAAATATTGATCCAAATGGCAACAAATACTGATGTACAAACTAAAATAGAAAATGATAATCACTTACCGATATAGGATGATCATGTTCTTTTTATTTACATTAATCAATGGGAAAATCATTCGATTGCAAAAATTTAAATAGCAACTCAACAAGCTCGAAATGATCTTCAAGAAATTTTTAATAAAAAACATCAAGATTTAGTTAATATATTAAATCGAATCAATAAAGAAATGGAAACAAATTTAAATGAAAATATTAATCTTTCAAAATGGACAGAACAATTAAATACGCTTCGAAAAGATTTATCGAATCTGTCAACATATATTCATTTAGAAAATGACAAAAATCAATCACCTATACATTTAATTAAACTGTCTCATAAAAATAATAATCAAACAGAACAAATCAATGATAAAACAGTAATTTATGAAGATTGTCTTTTTCTTTTTTAAATATTTGAATTTTAACTTTTTTTTCATAGGATAGCGAACTGATAATAAATGTACCTGGTACTGAACCATTAACATTAGATATGTTACGTAATGCAACATTGACTGAACAAAAACAATTTTTAGGCGAACGACTTTTTGTACTTGTTCAACAGATTGAACCAACTTTAGCTGCAAAAATTACGGGAATGTTTATTGAATTAGACACAAAATATATTTTAACATTGATTAAATCACAGAAAGTACTCAAAGAAAAGGTTGAAATTTATTAATAAAAAATGAAAAACTAATATTTGAAAATATTTCTCTTATTTTAGATTAAAGAAGCAAAGGATATATTGAAAGCTTATCAATATAAACCACGTTCCATTATAAAATCATAAAAACTATAAATATATTGTGGTCAAACTAAAATTATTGTTGAAGTCGTTTTCCTTCTATCAACTAATATCTGAATATTGGGAAATATTAATTATTTTATATAATAATATTGATTTATTTCATAAATGAAATTCATATATGTAACTAGTTATATTTCTTCAATTAAGTTAATAATCAATTAAAAAGTGAAATCACCTAAAACTCTCTGCAGCTCGAAAACTTCTTTTAATCAGTACGGATATTATTTTTTTGTATCGCATAGATAATGAAGCATAAAAAAGCCAGAAATTACAGTTCGAAATACACGAATTTTTGTGCACGAATGACATAAAGTAGATGGAAGATGGCTACTTAATGGAGTAGTCAATAATGAATTACCACCGCTTTCATAATCTTCTAACTTTTCATGCAACAACAGTAAATTCTTTCCTTCATATAGCTGTTTCAGAACTACAATCGTTGTCTTGCAGTAATGATTTTGCATGGCATATATCATTCAAAGTATTTCGCCTATAATATGAGAAAACTTGTATAAATTTTGTTTTGTATACTATCGTGGCAAACTCTTGTCAGCGAAAAGACTTGAAATCTGTTCGAAAGTAGTACTACTAAAATTATGACATGAAATATCTATTCGTCTTATATATATCATATATACATAGAAAGATAAACTTAATCTTTTTCTTAATTATATCATTTTTATTGTTTGTCTCAATAAGTTAAAGTTAATTTAAGATGCACTTAATTTAGAAGAATAACATCCAACAATATAGTAGATTTATCTACACCGATTAAAACTAAAAGAACCAAAGCAGTTCCACAAGAATGTCGTATATGCGGTGCATTTACTAAATATTCTTATTTTGGTACTATTTCATATCGTGCATGTAAAATGTTTTTTAAACGAAATGCCGATACTGAACAGGTCAAATAAATTTTCTCTTCTTATTTAATTCCTATGTTAAGCCATTTAGGCAACATTTGTATGTAATTTTGGTGGTCAATGTGAAATCAATGTAAATAATCGTCACATATGTTCACCATGTCGACTTGCCAAATGTTTTAAGTGTGGAATGACTACTGAAAAATTTCAAACCTCGAAACAGACTTAACCAAAAAGAAACGCTATAGAGAAAAAACAAACAAAAGATCCACTAGAATTAGTAAGATCATTAAGTTAAATTAACAGAAATCTATCTTAATTTTTTTCAATATAAATCTAATTAAAAAGGACTCGTTTCATCGGTTTTCTCTGAGAATAATTTTTCAAAAAAAAAGACTCGAAATTGTTCTAATGAGTTTAAGATTAAATAAACTATAAGCAATTTCAATGAATATCTGCTTTAAAGAGTAAATTATAAACTTTTTATGAATAATTGTTTTATAATATTTTTATTTATCAGGTTCCAACATTAAATCTTTTACAATCAGATAAATCATTATTAACTACTAATCAATGGACACTGCTGACGAATTTATTTTATTGTTATGATGAATCTCAACTTTTCCAATGCAGTCAACGTTTTACAGATGCACACAATGATTTACAATCAAATTATGTGATTTCTCCAGCACTTGTAGATGACTTAGTAGTAGCTATTTACAACACAGTGAAATCATATCTTTGTTCCAATGATGATATTCGTAAATTATCATTTAATGATCGTTCGATGATACTATGTAGTGCTAGTAACAATATGTCCTGCATAAGTGGTGGATTTATTCTCTCCTATTGTTACTTATATGGTCTCGATGCTTTCTTAAATGCTGTAAATAAGAAGTTTGGCAAATCTTTAATAAATATTCCATCTTCGACAAGAAAATACGTTGATCCAGATATTGTAGTGGCTACATTATCAATATCATTATTCGCTTTATCTGAAAATACTTGTTATTATTATTCAAATATCTCAAAAGATTTAACAAATCCTCTTAATATTTTAGAAATTCAAAATAAATATGCAGAAGTAAGATGGAAATATCTTCTATACAAATATGGTCATTATGAGGCTGTAAAATGATTTCTTAATATAACTCTTTGGCTTTCTTCTATGAACATTTGAGTAAGTTATGTTCAATCTCTGCCATCACATGTTAATAATATTAATTCACTTATCGAACAAACTGAACTAACACTCATATTAGATGATATTGATAAAATAACTGAAACAAACCAATAAAAGTTTTTTTTTCAAATATTGAATATCACTTATGTTTTATTTGTCAGTCATTAGCAAAATTTGTATTTAAAAAAATTAAAATATCTAATAGTCATCTAGAAAAGAAATGTAAAAGTATATGTATATATTTGAAATAAAAGTGTTGAATTTATATCAGATATTAACAAATAAAAAGGATCAATCAACATTATTAACATTAATTGAATTTAAGAACAGCGAACACTTTACATAATGAATTATCTATAAAACAAAATACATTAGATTATATTGAGATTATGCTACTAATTAAAACAACAAAGACACTTGGATCTTTCTTATTTATTAATAAAAATAACTAGATTTTTTTTCGAAAAGTAATGAGATTGAAAGAAGTGAATGAAAAGAAGAACTGTAAACTTAGTAAGATTTATTTTCTAAGTCAAAATAAATGTTATGTGTTAAAATTCTATCATCATATAAACTTAATATTCACGTTAATTGATTTCATATTGTAAAAACAAGTTAAAATATTTACTAATCCTTATCAATTTTTAATTCATACATTGATTTTGTCATGTGTTTACAAATTAGCTAAAATCAACTTCATTTATACCTTCATCGAAGAAAATCACTGAAAATGTCATAGAATATGTTTAGATTTGAATAGCACTTTTCGTGTATGAGGTTGACGTTAATTATTTAGATCATTGTCCTACACTTCATGAATTTGTATAAGAATCGATATTATATCACACGTTATCTTTTATGAGAAATTACAGAAGACTGATACAAATTTCAAAATATTGATAATGTAAAAGTTTCGAAAACCGATCCTTTAATGTTTATTTTAATCTATATTGTGATTTAAGAGTTATAACTTATAACTCTATTACTTGCATTATCCTATAGTTTGCTATTGATGAGTTGATGAAAAGATGTTTTTCAAAAATTTTTGAAATTTGAATTATATAGATTTCATATTGTCATCACTTAATTTCTTCAATGTTTTAAGTAGCTTATTCAATCTTAGATGAATTATAGCAATCATTTTAGCATTAATTAACTTGTTTTCAAGGTTTACTTGTTAAGTTGATTTTCAAAACTTAACATGAAATCTCAACTTTTGATTTTTAGCGATCGACAAAGTCAAATTGAAATAAATTAAAGAAATACAAAGATTTTTTTCATTGGTATATTTAGTAAATCATAACACTTATGAAGATTTTGCAATAAAATTGACAGCAAGAAATAGGTATGTATTAGATGAGTTCAGATTCTAGAGAAGAATGAAATTAAAAAAAAACGTCTTAAAAAGAATGGAGGACACAATCATTACAGTGTATCAACAATGTAGATAGCTTTGTAATAATTACTGAATTTCACTTGATCGTTGTATAGTATGAAAAGCGTTTCCATGATTATAACTAATTGTGTCTAATTATAATTGTATTTATTCTGATTTTTCTCGTATTTATTTTATGTCGGATGTACATGATTAAAGAAGTATGAGTATTTTTAAGCTTTCTCACCAATGCTCCTCCTTCATTAGATGAATTGTCTATTGCTGGTTTTTGATGAAATAAGTCAAAAAACGTTGTAGCAGCTGAAACTGATGCAACAATACGAATAGATCTATAATATAGACAGTAAAAGAGGCAAAAAATTATAAATTTCAATTTTAGAATGTTACATAAATCCAATCAGTTTTAATGCTTGCTTGGAAAAAATTGTAAAACCGAATACTCTAATAAGTTCAAATAACAGCAAAAAAACGTTTGTTAGCTATCAAAGTATAATTTATATTATGACACGATCCGACGCTATTTCACTTTTTTCAAAGACAACAAGACCACACCAATAAACAAATGCCATAGTGTATACATCTACCACCGAGTATATGCCATACGTTATTGAAAGTGCTATCCAAGATTTCCAAAACATTTTATGAGGGTGTGGATGTTCATCTCTGTTCTTGTTAACCTACACCCACACCCAAAAATATAACAACAAGAATAAAAGACGCGATTTTAATTGAATTGAATGTGTGAATAGGTGGCCAAATATTTATGTTTTTTCTTGCTATTATAAAAATAACTTCTTATGAAATTGGAGATCATTTTTTCACTGAATAAAATAACACTTCTATTAATAGAACCAATCAAATACTACTAGAGTCCACGATAGTCTATAAGAATATATTCTTGTATCTCCGCCTGTTAGAGAATAATGTTATTTACAGTTTCATTCTGTTCAGTAAATTTTGAAAAAAACAATTGGTAGTGCAAAAAAAAAATAAGGAGGCAAGCATTGTCTATCGGTTAGATCAGTAGCGGTTAATGAGTTTGTTGCATTAACATTCTCAGTCATAATTCTACCGAACTTAAAAAAGTCTTTTTAAATATAACGTCGTAAAGGCAGTTAGAATTGGGATCTGAGAAAGTATGTTGATTTTTTAAAATTAACTTGTCTATCGGTATATTTTTCTCAAATCAAAACATTCTTCATGTTCAAATTATTAAGAGACTAAATGTTATCTCTTCGTCTTTGAATTGTTTGTAAAGTTAGATATTTCGAGATAGTGGTTATGGATTGCTCTCTGATTTTATTTATCAATCATTCGAATTTAATTTCTATTCGAAATTAAAGTCGTTAGATTTTTGAATGTAAAACAATTTTGTATAAACGAAAACTAGATTTTTTTTGTATGATAGTAAAAGTGAACAGTGTTTCAATTAAAT